GAGTTTGTGAAGAGAACTAGAACTTGGAGAAATAGCTTAGTTTTCGGTGTAGGAACCCTCCTCGTACTCCTCGTACTCGGCCGTCCCCTCCCTGCCCTCCTCCTCCTCTCCTCCTCCCCCATTGCTCGGAGGTCTGTCATAGTCGTCGCCTCCCGCGTCGTCTTCTCTGTCGTCTCCTCCATAGGAGCCCTCGTTTTCTTCCCCGGCCGCATCCTCCTGCGTGGCGGAGGCCCTTCCGGACCCTTGCCTGCTCCGGCCGTACGAGCCCGTCTCCTCAGCATATTCTTCGATCCTGTTGTCGTAGGAGCCGGTGTTGCCTCCATAATCCTCCTCGTAGAGGTCGTCCTCGTCGACTGTGGCCTCCTGGTACTGCTGGTACTCAGATACCAGGTCGTTCACGTTGGACTCGGCCTCTGTGAACTCCATCTCGTCCATGCCTTCGCCCGTGTACCAGTGCAAGAAGGCCTTTCGCTTGAACATGGCGGTGAACTGCTCAGTAATACGCTGAAGAGGGATGAATGAACTAGCATTAATGGCTGCCTCGCCACCCCGCTTACAGCGACTGGAATGTTTTGGACGAATGAAATTAAAACAGAAAACTAACCAAGAAGCAAAGTTACCCGGGCAAAAGAAAACAGGTGGAGGAAAACGTTTCTGTCAAGTACGCAGTAATGGAAGATGAAGACGAGCGTGGCGAGGAAACAGCTCCATAAGGGACGGTGATGGAGATGGAGGTGGCATCGCGGACGAAAGCACAACAGAAAACATACTTTCCTCACCTTGAACGGGTCTTGGATGGCGGTCGAGTTGCCGATGAACGTGGCCGACATCTTCATGCCTCGCGGAGGGATGTCGCACACAGCCGTCTTCACGTTGTTGGGGATCCACTCGACGAAGTACGAAGAGTTCTTGTTCTGGACGCTCAGCATCTGCTCGTCCACCTCCTTCATGGACATGCGGCCTCGGAACACCGTGGCTACCGTCAAGTAGCGGCCATGCCGTGGGTCGCACGCCGCCATCATGTTCTTGGCGTCGAACATTTGTGACGTAAGCTCTGGCACGGACATCTGGCGGTAGCCCTGCGACCTGCGGGAGACGCGTGTGCTTGGGCCTCATGTATTGCCTTGCAGGGGGCGCATGACACTTTCGAGCTTTGGGTTCAAGCATATACCCCTATGCATAATATTCATGACATACTCATATATGCATGATAATCATAACGTTTACTCCTAGGCATAATATTCATGGCATATACTCTTATGCATGATATTCATAACATATAACCCTATGTATGCTATTCATAACATAATCCTATACATGATATGCATATACTACAGTAGCGATGACACAACACCAAATAAAGAGACGAAATAAGGTTAAGTGCATGACTTCCACAGAGCAAGAGGTGCCGAGGCCTTACCCGCGCGCGGTGAGAGGCACGAAGCCCGGCATGAAGAAGTGCAGACGCGGGAAAGGCACCATGTTCACCGCCAGCTTCCTGAGGTCGGCGTTCAGCTGACCTGGGAAGCGGAGGCAGGTGGTCACGCCCGACATGGTGAGGGACACCAGGTGGTTCAGATCGCCGTAAGTGGGTGTGGTGAGCTTGAGCGTCCTGAAGCAGATGTCGTATAGGGCCTCGTTATCAATGCAGTAAGTCTCGTCCGTGTTTTCAACCAGCTGGTGGACGGAGAGCGTGGCGTTGTACGGCTCCACCACGGTGTCCGAGACCTGTGGGAAGGGACGCGTCAACGCCTCTGGTCGACGCCACCTTTTGGATGAGGGATCTCTCTCCCTCTTGCCGGAAAAGGGAAGAGGGAGAGATGATGGGTGATCGAGGGAAGAGGGAGAGAGAGACGGAAAGAGGGAGAGGGAGAAAGAGAAGGAAAGAGTGAGCGCGAGAGAGAAGGAAAAATTGAGGGAAGGAGAGGGAGTAGGAGAAGAAGGAGAAGGGAGGGAAAGAGAGAGGGAGAGGAAGAGAGAGCAAGAGGGGGGGAGGAATAAATGAGGAAAGGTAAGGGAAAGAGGGAGATGAGGAGAGAATATGATGATGATGATAAGAATGAAGGATAAGAAGACAATTGATGATGATGACAATAAGGAAGGAGAGAAAGAGGGCAATAAAAATGATATAACTATAAATCAATCAGAGGCTTCATTTCTGTATATACTATAATGACAAAGATTGCCTTCGTGAATTATTGAAGGCTTGTTTAAATGGGCAACCTTTGTCCTGTGCATTAAAATCTCGGGCGCCCACCAAGCTGCATTTGTTGATACAGGTATGACAGCGACTGAACAATTTTACAACATAAAGCTAGCATTGGACTCTCAGTGTCACATCTTCGGAAGTAATGGCATTGCTTCCTGCCATCCACGACACCAGGGCATCTCCCCCGCGACCCACGCTTCCTACCTTTGGGCTGGGCATGACAGAAAATGTGTTCATGATTCTGTCCGGGTATTCCTCCCTGATCTTGGAGATGAGAAGCGTGCCCATGCCCGAGCCCGTCCCGCCGCCCAGGGAGTGTGTCAGCTGGAAGCCCTGGAGGAGGTCGCACCCTTCGGCTTCCTTGCGCACCACGTCGATCACGGCGTCCACCAGCTCGGCGCCCTCTGTGTAGTGCCCTTTGGCCCAGTTGTTGCCGGCGCCGCTCTGGCCTGAGGCGCGGGCGGCGGGGTTAGAGGGGAGGGGGGGAGGAGGGAGGAAGTTTCCATTAGGTCTTAAAGACATTTGAGATTCTCTATGTCAAAAGAAAAAAAAAGGAAAAAGACAGATTCACCCATTTTACTGCATGAAGAAGTTTCGGCAACGGAAAGTCTATGAAATGCCCGTTTCCGTTATGGAGAGTTCAGTGAGGAGAACTCTATTTCAGTTATGTAAATCTGAGGTGAGGCTTATCAAGCTCCAAAGTGAAAAAACAGTTTAAGCTCAACCAGATCTAAAAAAAATTGTGCCAACATATCAAATGCATGATAAGCTTCCGCTCCGACATGACGCCGCGAGGGCTCCCTCTCGCCGTCGCATTTCCCACTCACCGAAGACGAAGTTGTCCGGCTTGAAGAGCTGGCCGAAGGGGCCCGACCGCACGGAGTCCATCGTGCCGGGCTCCAGGTCCACCAGGATGGCTCGGGGCACGTACTTCCCTCCTGCGGATATGGGTCAGGTCAGGTCAGGGGTGGCGTCGTCCTTGTTTCACAAACACGCACACACGTACGCGCGCACACACACACACACACACACCAGTTCATACACACACACACACGATTTTTTGCAGCATGTAAGACTCATCGGTGCATTGGACAAACTATAAATCAAGCATGATATTTGATGAAAAAATAACAGCGGACGGAGGTCGGTCCCCCAAGGGATCCCGGACCGCAGCGCTTATTCGTGGTCACATTTCAAGGTGTCTGGCCAGCGGAGGCCATTTTCTTCATTGTGTAACGAATTACACAAATTCACAGATAATTGTGTCTGCAACGAACGGGAGTGCCATGTATTGGTTAAATGGAATGCATTTTGCAGTGAGTATACTCACGCGCACACACACACACACGGGCGTGCACACACACACACACACACACACATATATATATATATATATTTATACATACATACATATATATATATATACATACATATATATATAAATATATATATATATATATATATATATATATATATATATATATATATATATATATATATATATATATATATATATATATATATATATATATATATATACACACACACATATATATACATATATATACGCACATATATGTTTATGTATATATACATTATATACATGCATAAATATGTGTGTGTGTGTGTGCGCACGAGGAATAGGCCGAGAGCCTTCTGCCACTAATATCACTGGCATTTGACTCGCAGGCGCCGGCGGCCCGCCACGCGACGCTCGTGTATCATAGATGGCATCGGCTCCTCGAACGGCCTGGCATTTGCTGACCTTTTCAAACAAGCGAGATGAGTCTGCATGCAGTGCGGCTGAGGTGAAGCCCAATGCACTTGTTACTTTCGAGTTAACGCATCGCATTTGCCATCGGTTACCTATGCCTCCTTCTCTTCCTGGCTTTTCCTCCTTCTCCTCCCACTCCCTCTCCTCTTCTTCGCCTGCTTCCATCTTCTCCTCTTCCTCCTTTCTCCTTTCTCCCTCCCACTCCTCCCTCCTCTTCCTCGTACTTATTGACCAGCGGAGGCAAATGCTAACGATGTGTGACGTCACAAGGCGCCAGGTGAGACCGTGCGCGGTCGATAGTACGTGGCAGGCGCCTGGTCAGCTACGGGTGGCTCTGGCTCTATGGTCATCGCCTTACAGTTTATATGGGAAGCCCTTGTGGGGGGGGGGGAGAGAAATAAAGAGAGAGCGGGAGAGAGAGAACAAGAGAGAGAGGGAGAGACACATAGAAACAGAGAAAGAGAGACAGAGAGGCAGAGGCAGACAGACAGACAAAAAGGCAGGCAGGCAGAAAGACCAAACATGTTTATAAATTCTCAAACATCAGTTACTAATCAAAATAAGTAATCATTCGTGCCATATTCACAATCCTTAACTCTGACGTCCCCGCGAATTCTAATGAATCTGGAAAGTGACTTACGACGCTCCGCTTCAGTCACACGTCATGACTTAATTACAAGAGGCGGGGAGGCAGTGAGTCACCGGCCTTCGGGAAAAGCTCCGGCCAAGGCCATCAATATTTCACGACTTGATGGGGTCCTGAATCCTGGCTGACGGATGACTCACGACTCCCCTGAACCAGCAGCGAGTCAGCCCAGGCATGCGGTTGCCATTTCGACTGACGAGAATGCCGGTTCGAGTCATCTCATGCCACTCCATAGGTCCCTCTCCCTGCCTCTTCCGCCTTCCGCTCACCAACTCCTCTGGCTCCTTTCTCCTTTTCTATTTTTATCCCAACTCCCTCTTTACCAATTTGTGTCTGTTCTCCCGTTTCACCGTTTCTTTACATTTCTTCAGTATACGATCTTCATATCATTATTTCTCATTTAGGTGCTTCTTTTTTGTTTTTATTACTTCATGTAATATTTTCTTGTTCCTAAACTTATTTTCTTTTTATTTACTTAACTTTCTCTTTCTCATTCTCTTATCGAGTGGGATGGTCCTGAGATAGATAGATAGACGTTTTAATAGATACACACAAAAATAGATAGACAGATAAAGAGAGAAATAATGTTATTACTGTTTTTTCGCGGTTCCATTCAAATATTAAACGGTCACAAAAGACATGGTGTATTCTCGTTGCATCTGTTGATTCTCCTTTGTGATAAAATGATCATATTTCATGGATAGTGAATGCCTGTATCAGAGGCGGGGCTTCCATGGTGACACGGAGGGCACCCGCCCCCCCCCTGCAATCTAATTGGCCACCCCGTGTGCCCCCCCCCCCCCAGTGGACTTTGACTCCTCATAATGGCCCCCTGTATATACAGTCTGGCGGCCCCGAGATTTCTCCCCCCCCCCCTTTAGTCCATTCAACGAGATTTATTGTTGTTACCCCCTGTGCTCCCCACCAGGAAATTCTCTGGACCCGCCCCTGGCCTGTGTGCATGCCCGCGCGTGTGTATTCGAATTCGCTACTTCATCCAATTTCTCCCTAAAGAAACTCTCCAAAATAGCCGACTCGTGTTCACTCACCATGAAAAACACCCGACTTCACGGGGACCAGCCTGAGTCGGCGAGGGAGTTCAATAGTCTACTTGCGACCCGTGGAATGCACTCCGCGGAACTGGGTCAGGAGCGCGCAAATGTGTCGACAATAAATCCACGGGTGCGAGCAAATACTTCCACGCTGTGAGTCAGAGGGGGCGAGTTACCAAAGGCCATTTTGATGGTGGTGAGGAAGAGAGGGAGAGAGGAAAAGAAAGTCACGCTATTTTTCGCCTATCTGCTTCTTTATCAGATACAAGTGGAACTTCATTAATCCGGCAATTGCTGGTTCGGGACAGTAGTTTGAATCTGGCAGTAAGTAGTTTGCAAGGCCGCCGCTTGTGCAGCCGTGACCCATGACCGTAATTACCGTATTTTTTCCTTATTTATTTTGCCTTGGGTTTCACTGGTTCCGGATATTCGTTATCCAAGTAATATTTCTCACTTTTGAAAGATACTGATGTCAGGATTCTTTTTTATCATTTCATGAGAATATGATATCTGCAGTGTTCCATGCTGCTTCATTTGAGACGTTTCAGTCACTTCAGTTGTGAAATGAGCACTTGCAAAAAGAGAGGCAATAAAATAGTATACGAGTGATCAGGAAGGCCAAGCAACAATGACGGAAATAAGTCACAAATCATTGCATTCTTTTTTCGTCTCTATTCTTTCTTTCCCTTCTCTCTCCTCTTTGTTTCCCTTCTTCACCACTCGCCTTTATCTCCTTGATCTCTCTCCTCCCTTTTCAGTTTTCCCTTCCATAATAACACAAATGCAAGAACTCGGCTGTAGCCGTTGTATTATTCCAAAAGAATTACTAGACAACAGTTTACGAACATTTAATTTATAAGAGAAAACGGTGGGTGTAATTGCGGGGCACACTCTGCTATACTAACAAAATGCCTTCTTATTGAGACTCATTGGACACGTAATAATGCCAGCATAAAAACGACACCAACAAGAGTATGTTTGAGAGAAATGCACTGTTTACTGAGATTCAGTAAACAAAATATTTTTTCTAACCTGAATGATTCAAAAGAGAATTTCTATTCTAGATTCTAGACTATATTCTAATATCATTTGTGGAACTGATAAGAGAGAAAAATGCGTCTAAAGACATAACTACGACAGCAATGGTAGTAATAATTATAGCGGGAGTCATAGAAGCAGTGAATGTACTAGTTTATAGCAATGGTAGTATAGGTATTAGCAGCAATTATGGTGAACGTAATGGTACTGCCAGAAATGTTAGAAATGATAGTAATGGCAATAGTGGTTGTGGTAATAGTAGCAACCATAAATAGAGAGGGAGAGAGGGAAAATAGAAAGAGATAGATAGATACATAGAAAGAGAGAGAGAGAGAGAGAGAGAGAGAGAGAGAGAGAGAGAGAGAGAGAGAGAGAGAGAGAGAGAGAGAGAGAGAGAGAGAGAGAGAGAGAGAGAGAGAGAGAGAGAGGGAGGGAGGGAGGGAGAGAGAGAGAGAGAGGAGGGAGGGAGAGAGGAGAAAGAGAGAGAGGAGAGATAGAGAGAGAGAGAAAGAGAAAAGAGAAAGAGAGAGAGAGAGAGAGAGAGAGAGAGAGAGAGAGAGAGAGAGAGAGAGAGAGAGAGAGAGAGAGAGAGAGAGAGAGAGAGAGAGAGAGACAGACAGACAGAGACAGAGACAGAGACGGAGAGAGAAAAATATAAAAGACGAAATTCCCAGAAAGTCACGGCCAACCAAATAAAGAACAGCATCATGCGCACAAAGCAGCGCATGCATGACCCCGCCCCCGATGTCCATGCATGGAGCCCACAGCAAGACAGGAAAGATGGGATAGAAAAGAGGCAATGAAGGAAGTGGAGGTGAAAAAGGAAGAGAGAGGAAAGGGGTAATGAGAGAGGAGAGAACGCTAGAGAAGGAAAAAGGGAGAGACAAGGGGAGAGAAGAGGGAAGAGAGGAAGGGAGAGGAAGAAAGGAAGGAGAAGAAGAAGAGAAGACAGCAAGGAGATAGCCCAAAAGGGAGAGGAGATAAAGAGGGGGAGCCTGAGAAAAAGGGGAAGAGAAACTGGAGGAAAGAAGAAGAGAAAAAAGAAAGAGAAAGAAGGGCAAATGAAAGATAGATTAGAGGAGAACACAAGATAAGACAAGGCCAGACACCGCGAAGGAGGAACAGGAAGGAAAAGGCGGGTAGAACGAGAAAAAGGAAAAAAGAGAGAACGAAGAAAGAAGAAGGTTGATAGAGATAAACAGATAGAAAAGGAGAGAGAGAGGGGGGGGGATAGATAGATAGATAGAGAGAGAGAGAGAGAGAGGGATGGACAGACTGATTTACTAACTGACTGACTGACAGGTAGGCAGACAGACAGACAAAAGACAAGAAAAGAGAGGAGGAGGCGAAAGCCGGAAGAGAGGCGAGAGCGGAGGCGAAGATAAAGTATAAGGAGGCAAGGAGGAAGCGAAAAGGATGCGAGAACAGAGGCGAAAGTATAAGGAGGCAGGAGGAGGCAAAGGGATGCGAAGAGGAAAGAAGGGCGGAGGCGAGGAGGACGGCAAGAGGATGCGAGGAGGCGGAGGAGGCGGGGAAAGATAAAGAGGAGGCAGGAGGAAGTAAGGATAAGACAAGGAGGAGACAAGAGCGGTGGCGAAGAGGAGGCGGGAAGAGATGAAGAGGAAGCAGGAGGAAGCAAGAGGGCGAGGAGGAGACAAGAGCGGAGGCGAGGAGGAGGCAAGAGGATGCGAGGAGGAGGCGGGAAGAGATGAAGAGGAGGCGAGGAAGGAGAAGGACTGGTAGAAGGACGTACCTGATCCGGTCATGCCTGCGTGATATGGGAGTGCGAGAGGGTGAAGTACGAGAGCATCGCCAGATCCAGAGAGAAAGCAAGGAAAACGTATTATTTCTCCTTAATCTTACAACTGTTTCTAATAACTATCATTTCTTCTCTAAATAAATAGTTAAATGAAAAAGTAAGTAAACGAATTAACCGAAAAAAGAAGTAAAGGTCGAGTCGGAGATAAAATGAGGCATCTGTGGAGTGTCTCATCTTCTCTCTCATCTTTTTTTCTTTCTTTTACCCATGCTTGTCCCGGGGCCGCTGGTTCTCTGTCTCTCCCTGACCTGCTTCTCTTCCTTGCCTTTATTCCCCAGGGCGTTGTTGTGTTCTGAAGATATTTCGAGGATATTTGCTGGACTTTTTTCTTTTGTTTCGCTGAAGATGGTGTTCATGAACTTCTCTCCTTCTCCTTCTTTCCCCTGATGGTATTTTCATCCGCCATTGTTTTTTTTAATTAAAATTCCTATTTATGGCATCTATACACCTGTTTATTTTACTGTTTATTCCCTCTTTTTAATTTAAGAGACAGTAAGAATTCAGTTATCTGTAACATTTAACTGAGGATTGGCTTTCTTTCTTTCTTTTTATTTATTATTAATATCATTAATTAATTAATTAATCTATTTATATAATATATATATATATATTATATATATATATATATATATATATATATATATTTTTTTTTTTTTTTTTTTTTTTTTTTTTTTTTTTTTTTTTTTTTTTTGTAAATAAGAAAGAAAAAAAAAGAATTTCCTGTCGAGTCCTGGGTTGTGTTCGCCGCTTCCAGTTTAGCGCCGAAACTTAGAAAATCCCAGCAAATTATTCGTAAAGAAAGCTATGCATGAAAGGTGGAATAATGCCCTGCCGCCTTGATGTGGTTGGCTAAGCAGCGTCCCTGCGGGTTCGTCCCTGCAGTGGCCCAAGTTCGAGTCCTGGCCAGGGAGGGTTGCTGCTTAAAGAGCTGCATCTTTCAAGAATACACATCTAAGATATTATATATATATATATATATATATATATTATATAATATATATATATATATAGAGAGAGAGAGAGAGAGAGGAGAGAGAGAGAGAGAGAGAGAGAGAGAGAGAGATACAGATATATAGATAGATGGAAAAAAGGGAGAAACAGAGATAGATAGATAGAAAGAGAGAGAGGCAGAGGAGAGATAGACAATAACATATTGACAGAGAGATATAGTGCGACAGATAGATAGATAGATAGAGAGAGAGAGAAAGCAAAAGAGAGAGATATAGGATAACAGAGGAAGAAAGGAAGGGAGAGACTAAAGAAATATAGATAAGTAAATGGAACAGATGTAGGAGAAACACGGAGAGACACAAGGCAGATGAAGGAAAATTGGGGCCGAGAAGGCAGCCTCACCTGTCGCCTCATTGTAGTAGACGTTGATGCGCTCGAGTTGCAGCTCGTGGTTGCCCTCGTAGGCGCCTTGGGGGGTGATGTTGTGCTCGTCGCTGATGATCTCCCAGAA